GTTATCGCTCGGTTTTCAGGCTACGCTATTATAGCCTCAATCACATATGGTTCACTCAAGCAATTTGAATGCTGGTATTTCTTACTATAATGTATGGTTAACTCGAGCAATATGATTACTGGTAATTCTTATTAATATATGTAAGCTTAACTCGAGCAAAGTGATTGCTGGTAATTCTTATTATAATTTAAGTTTCACTCGAGCAATATGATTGCTGGTAATTCTTATTATAATGTTAGTTTAATTCGAGTAATATGACTACTGGTAATTCTTATTGCTAAGTATCGTGCTTTTGAGCCGTTATCTGCGGGACCTCGTGCGACTTTCATACGGTAAGCTTCGAACAGGAATTCAATCTCGGAAACCGTTTACTTCAGCGTATGTTATGAGGTTATCAAATGTCTAAAGAATTACTGACTATGAATGTTAAGAATCAAAGCTTTCTTACAATAGATCAGATTTTTTTTCTTACATCTGCTTGGTGGGATAGAATTAAGCAAATCGTTCTGCTATACCATGATTTAGATTTATTCCCATATCAAGAATTTATTTACATGTTTGATAACTAATTATCTTCCAATCAACTAAATTTTTTAATTTTATAAAGTAATTCTGACCTATGCATTAAAACATAAGAGGAAAAGGTTGAGAGAACATGAATCGGAATTTGATATCATTGGATTTTATATTCTTCATACTAATTTTTGTGTACGTGGTCTCTCTTAATAAGGTGCATACAATCCATTGCAGTCATGGCGTGCGTCGCAAGCGCGGCTCTCACGTAATTACCTTTGATTTCTCAACGTACGTTCGCATCCGCAATTCCGTACGACGTTCGGTCACCAGGCTGCCATGTCCACCTGCCTCCCAACGCACCTGATCACTTGCTAATCTATCCAGTCTGTCCTACTCAGCGCTGCATGAATCTATAATAAAACACATGACAATTCTTGTCGTGACGATAGAACACGTGCAACTCTGGTCGTGACAGTATCGTTCAATCGCAGAGATTGAGCCCGTGTAACTTTCGTCAAGACCATAGTACACTAAACGTGACAATTCTTGTCGTGACGATAGAACACGTGAGACTCTGGTAGTGACAATATCGTTTAATCGTAACGATAGAGCACGTGAAACTATGATCGTAACGAAACGAAAAAACACCTGAAACTCTTGAGGTGACGATAGAACATTTGAGACTCTCATCTTAACGATAAAGCACATAGAACTCTGTTCAAAATAATCGAGTACTTGGAACTCGTGTCATGATGATAGAGCTCGTGGAAGTCTGTTCAAGATAATAAAGCACGTGTAACTCTGGTCAAGATAATAGAGCACGTGTAACTAAAGTTGAGATAATAGAGCACGTGTAGCTATAGTTGAGATAATGGAGCAAGTTGATGTTGCGTTATGTTGTAATCCAACACGTAAGACTGATTGTGCGGTGGCATAGCTGCATGCATGATCGCATGTTTTGCGATCGAGTACGTGGGACTCTGGTTGAGCGTTGGTCAAGCATGCGGGACTCTGGTTGAGCTGTGATGTAGCAAGTGGGACTCTGGTTGCTTAGCAATCTGCGCGTGGGACTCAGGTTACTTAGCAATCTGCACGTGGGACTCAGGTTGCTTAGCAATCTGCGCGTGGGACTCAGGTTGCTTAGCAATCTGCGCGTGGGACTCAGGTTGTGTGGCGATCTGCGCGTGGGACCGCATCAGTAACGATCTACGCGCATCGTTACTGAAGTAACGATAGAGAATATGTTTCAAGTAAGTGAGCCCTAACACCCAATAGTTTGTAGTTCATGATATTATAGCACTTATAGTCACTTGAGTGGTTCTCACTGTCTCAATGTCATTTCTGCAGGATTTGTTTTACCATCAATAGACCAATATATGCATTGGATACTTTAATGATAGTTTAGATCAAAACATTCAATAGTGTACTATGCCTCGGGTTAATTTCATTACTTCTTCGAAGAATTTACTTTATATGCCCTCAAAACTCAACAATTTTACGCAAGTGGATGAATAAAAATTAGACATTTAAATACATTGTTCCCACTATGTCACGCTACCGGAAATCTCATCTGCAGCAAAGCACAATAAAATTCAACCTGTGCTCCTTTATGGCTGACATCTCTTGGCCGGAGGTCGCGCATTGCAGGTTCACTTTTAATTAGCTCCAGTTATGCGACACAGAAGGCATATAATTTTAAAAAGCAGACCATTAATTCAAGCACCGCCGCTAATTTTCTCAGCAGGAAGCAGGCGTTTCAGAGGCGTCTTAAAATGCATCTCAGTGAAGCTCAAAACTAGGCTGGAAATTAAAGCGGTACAGGCGTCGGCCACTCATTGGCCACCGAAAACACGCCCGTAATTTGTAGCGTAAAAAACGACAAAAACTAGCTAAGATGTAATTACTGTGTTAAGCCTATCGTATTCCATCTTCGTCACTCAAAAGCATTCATTTTTTCCTTGAATGTAGGTGTTATGTTCAGGATTTTTATTAGTAATCCTGAAAAATAATGTGCTAAGTAATCAATTTAAGGCAGGCGAGTAAATTCTTGCATGTAACGAATAAAGTTTTTTGAAAACACTTTACAATTATACCATTTGACCCGACCAAAGTTATTACTCAGCAGCAGTACCTTGGGTAGACACTTATGATTCTTATTCTTATTCGTGTGTGAGCATTATACGTTTATAGACTTCGCTGAATTTCATTTAATCTTCCATGAATTGAATTACATACATACTATTTGACTGAATTAATTGCCGATTTTTACCTATATGAATGCGAACAAACTTTTGGCTTCAGAAGGAACTGAAAATTGCCGGTGGAGTAATTTGTAAACATCATTCTAGCAGAGCTAACAAGCATTGCTTGAGAGGTTGATTGAGATAATCGTAACAGGCTAACCTGGGCGCCGAACTAAATTAATTTCGATTGAAAATTTAGTTCTGCCGTTACATTCGCGTTAAGCCATCGTGTTTAATTTTAATCTTTGCGCCATTATTTTTACTCTCCCAACTTTAAAGAGTCATGATTAATTTAATATAAGTCGTTATATATTATTTCATATATACGACGTCTTATTCAATTCCAACCTTCAAGCCGCCGTGTTTAATTCAAATCATTAGGTCGTTATTTTTCAATGATTTTCGTTATTTTTTTATTTCAAATAACTAGCCTGGTCAATTGATCGGGCTCGATAAATAATTCATTTAATTTTAACATCCCGCTGCCCCGAATCCCGTAAATCATTATAAATCAAATGTTTTCTAATTGAACAAAGAACCTTTTAAAACCACATTCTCCTTAGAACATAGGATTCCCGTTTGAATCTCGTTTCAGAATATTAAAGAACCTTCCTTCTTTATAAATTAAATTTATACGTATGGACCTATTTATAAATAAAATTTCAAAAAAATCAATCCTTCCCTCCTAATTTCGCAATGCATTAATACTCTTCCTCTATGAACAGTAAAGTTTCAGCTGGTATATACTGTATATCCCAAAAAATACTGTATATCCTGGACACAAAAAAAAGTATCCTGGACACGCGCCCGAACAAGCATTTAGTTTGTCATATTTAATTCCAATTATTAATATATCGCACTTCATTCTAATTGTTGAACCATTATATTTATTTCGTGTAAGCGTGTCCACAAACCTACAGGAAATAATAAATTCCTTATAATATTATATATTCCCTGACAATACTGGTTTTATGGATATACGCACTTAGAAAGACAGGAAGACTGGGTGATGAGCCTTTTTTACATGAATCTGAGAGGAAAAATATTACCAAACCCGACTTAAGAAAAGCTAGATTCAGGGTTGAAATACAATTACAGGGCTAAAAATATGTGCAAAATCGGCGTACTTTTCGGCCACTGTAAGCGCTCTTAGAGTTATTAACGGCTTAGGCTTACCAAAATCCAAGATCATATTTGGGTATTTATATTATTAGTCAGCTTAAATCACAAGTTCATAAAGAATATAAAAACAAAGAAAACGCCACGTAAATCCACCAAATTTCGAATGATAATTATTTCGGAAGAACCAGCTTCATCATCAGTTTAAAAAGAAGAAGTTTTTGAAAAACCTCTTGGACTAATAATGAGGCTGGTTCAAACTGATGAGAATGGTGAATTTAATTCAAGTTTTTTTTCTATTAAATAAAAAATCAGCGCAAGTGATGATTGATGATCATAACCTGCTTTTATGTTGGATGGAAATTCGAATATTTGATTAACTTAGTACAGCCTGTATGCACTACTTTATTGTGGGCGTCAAATGCACCGACTAACAACCAGACATTCTAAAATAATTCATTGATAAAAACAATGCTTCCTAATAACGAAAATCTATAACATAGAAGACTTTTTCTCAAATCTTTATCTTAATTATAATTACATAAAAACTGATATCCGGCCAAATCGTCGTTATCGACTTACACTGCATGACGCTGTTCGAGAAAACTAAACAGACCAAACTGGATGACCACAGTATAACTGCTTGATATTAATATTCACTTTACTGATAATGCAGTAATTTTAATCAACTATTAACTGCTTAAAAGAAAGCGAACATATGGGAAGCATTTGCATTAAAATTTTTTTAGAAGAAAACACAATGAGATAATAATAAATTAAATATAAATACCTGGCCGTCATCAGAAAATATTTCTTTCTGTCCACCTATTAAATAAAATGGATGACGTATAAAATCAACACTCACTTCCAGAAAGGAGGTACTGGCCCTGGAGAAGATACCTCAGGATACTCACTGTCCGAAAAGAAGGCAGCTGAGGAGTGGTACTGGTCCTGGACAGGATACCTCAGGATACTCACTGTCCGAAAAGAAGGCAGCTGANATAAGAGACAGGCTGAGGAGTGGTACTGGTCCTGGACAGGATACCTCAGGATACTCACTGTCCGAAAAGAAGGCAGCTGAGGAGTGGTACTGGTCTGGACAGGATACCTCAGGATACTCACTCTCAGAAAAGAAGGCTGCTGAGGAGTGGTACTGGCCCTGGAAGGGGTAGCCCAGGAGTGCAGGCTGCATGGTCTGCATCATGATGTAGTGTCCCAGGATCTCTACGATGGTGCAATATACACTCCGCACCACCAGGTATGATGAAGAGGTTGTTTCCAAACTTTGTTCCTATACAGAAGGTTTCGACACTCAATTGCAGTCAATAGTGCATGTTTCCACCATATTTTTAGTCCAATTTCATTTCACATTTTATAATGTAAGTACAAATTAAAAATTCAATATAAAGCATTCTCTTGTCACAGAGGTAATAAGGAAAACTTTCAATTGGAGCACAGTCCAACCTTCAGTTCTTTTGACACTTTTACTATTTCAGTTACTGTAATTAGACATGTAATAAGAAACTTAAAAATATCCTTGTACAAAAGGCGAAAACTATTTATGATAAAAGAATCACCTCGTTGCTATATTACCAGATTATTATCACCTGATGAATCACCTGATTATTATTACTATATTATGTTCAGTCTGCATTAATTTGTTTTGTCTTATGGCAAAGTAAAGGAATGAATTAATTAGTCTGCATTCATTTATTTCCTCAGTCTGCATTAATTTACATAAGATTTCACCAGGTCGTTGTCCTCAACGATTGTTTCACTACAGAATAACAACATCGAGTGTGTCCATGAGAAGAAATTAAATAGAAATTATTTAGAAACTTGAACCAATTAAACATTATTTTCAGAAAATGCCTGCCGATAATACGATTTAAATTCATTCAAAAACTGAGAATTTTATACAAGCAGGCTGAAAAAACATCAGAAAGGCTTTTTTCAAACCCCCGAACGTTCAACGTAATTTAATGAATAAATTATTACAATTAATTTTGAATACGGAATAAATTCATTTATCAGTTCCTAAACATAATAATTGATGAGTCCTTAATCGCACTTTTGTTCACAATTATTTCAGTATTTAAATATTTATTTTGTGCAAAATTGTTCCAATAATGAAATGCAATGTTAAATAAAGATGCCCTCAAACACTGATTGTCATCATTATATGATGACCATGTTAAATGATTGTCATCATATATTAATAATTTCACATCTTAACCCAAAACTGTGAATCAATTTTACTCTTAAGTATCCTTTCAGCACGAACAATGTCGCGGGATTTGGTTATGACTTCCTTCAGCCACTATTGATTCTAAAATTATGTTGTCTCGATGATATTCCTGCACCCAAGAACTAATTAAGTGTGAACGTAACTTTTGTTAAGCACTTGATGCGTAGTATCGCGTTACACGCTTCCATTCACCGTACGTGACGTGACCGACCGCTCGAGACCGCGAGACTGAGACGGGGGACGTGGAGGCCGAGCGCCCAGTATTCCCACCGTCACGAACACGCCACGAAATATCAACTCGAGACTCACGACGTGGCAGGTGAAACTCTCATTGGCCCCGAAGGCTGGTCGAACGCGAGGGACAACCTTTAATTGGCCTAAGAGATCAGTAGTGCATGATGAGCGCGGTCTCATTGGCTGCTGAGGTCAGGTAAGCGCGAGGGCTTGGTTCCTATTGGCTGCTGAGGTCAGGTAAGCACGAGGGCTTAGTTCCCATTGGCTGATGATACCAGGTAAGCGCGAGGGTTGGCTTGCGATTGGCTCGGAACGCACAATTGAAGTCCTCCTTGCTTGCAATGTTAAGACTTTAGCGAGACAAAAAAGGGGGCGGCGCTCAGGGCCGCCCCTGCCAATGCAGGAATAGGTTCCCGGATCCCAAAGACCAAGGATACTCTGAATTATGTCTTCAAAGTTGACCCATGAGCTAGAAAAGGATGGCGTCTTCATTAGAGCGCCGCTGTTGCTGCAGTCTTTACCGAGCACGACCGTGACAACTGCTCTTTCATTGCTCATTATAAAATCCTTCTAAAGTCAAGCCTCGGCTTGCAAGACGGCAATTGTGGCGTCGCATCTTTGTTATCACTCCTGCTGAGTTTTTAATTTAGTAACATGCAGACTTTTTAGAGCCAGTGACATCAGAACTTTTGTGTGCTCTTAATTCTTTCAAATTCCTCATCCATTATAGATGACATTCGTAGTTCTGCTCAAAACAAAATAGGGAAACAAAATAGCTGACGAAAAAGAAGTCTACTGGTTATTATCTGTCAGTTCAATCGACTTATTAGTTTCAGTGAACGAAGTTTAGGTCCGATCGGTTCAGAGCGATGGTGCCAGTTTAGTTGAGCTGTAGATCGAGCGTTCTTTAGCTGTCCTCTCACTGAATCGAAAATTCCGTTTACTGAGATCAGCTATGAGATTCTTGACAACCCAAACTTGCATTAGTCATTTTAAATATCTGGCGCACAATTCAAAATATTTTCTTTATTTTTACTATAACTTGTTAGTGTAAATCCCTTTATGTCATTTAATTGTTTTACTCGAAGAGGCAGCCTATATAGTAATTATCGAAAGCTTCTTGTAACGGATAGCTTTATTTCCTCGATCTCTCAGCAAACCTTAGCGTCCTCCGTCCGTGCAATAGCTTAACTTCCTCAATCCCCCAGCAAATCTAAGTGTCCACCGGGGTTGATAGCTTAATTTCCTAAATCCCTCAGCAAACCTAAGTGTCCACCGGTCCTGATAGCTTAACTTCCTCAATCCCCCAGCAAATCTAAGTGTCCACCGGTCCTGGTAGCTTAACTTCCTCAATCCTCCAGCAAATCTATGTGTCCACCGGGGTTGATAGCTTAATTTCCTAAATCCCTCAGCAAACCTAAGTGTCCACCGGTCCTGATAGCTTAATTTCCTCAATCCCCCAGCAAATCTAAGCGTCCACCGGTCCTGATAGCTTAATTTCCTCAATCCCCCAGCAAACCTAAGCGTCCACCGGTCCTGATAGCTTAATTTCCTCAATCCCCCAGCAAATCTAAGCGTCCACCGGTCCTGATAGCTTAATTTCTTCAATCCCTCAGCAAACCTAAGCGTCCACCGGTCCTGAAAGCTTATTAACTCGTGCCCACAATTATGAAGTTTTGGCCCGAGGCTCGCTGAGCCACGCGTCGCTTCGTATGTCCTTCATTATAGCAGCAAAATTCGAATTTTCCATCCATTTCTGCGTGTCTGCTCGGCTTGCTCACGCTGCGTTGGCGTGAGTGTCACACTGAGTGTTACGTTACGTTATACGCTGATCAGAGTGTGGGACGCGCCATGACGTTACACCAGCGGCGTCACAAGCACTGCTAGACAAGCCATAACGTCAGGCTCTGAGTAACCGATAACAAAGGATTTCATGAGGACGTTATCTGGTCATTTGTTTTGTGTGGTTATCTGCGGCTGCAGTTCTGGCCGTTAACATCCGCAATCAGAAATTCGTGGGACAATAATTATACAGATACTTAAACTTTTTAAAGCCTTTACTCGTAAAAGAACAATAATAATTTTAGCAGTGAACCGATTAGTTCTAACAAATTTCGAAGGTAAACTCTTTAACGAGCAAAAAATTACCTAAAAACAAGGATTTGCTATTGAAGGCATTATATGGTCAAGATACCTAACTCGAACAATAAATACAATATCCCGTAAATACTTTTCCTGCATTTAATTTACAATATTGATGAACTAGCAAAATGGGAAACAGCTCATCCTTATACTAGAATATTTTGGCCCTTTCGTGTGTGGCCATATATTTGAACAAAACCTATTACATATAACATAGTTAATCTTAGAAATAAAAAATTTCATCTCATCGTTGGCACAGATTATTAACATATGCCATTGCAATTTTTATATAAAAGAATATATATCATTTTCAATTACTGTATGAATATACAAGCATTTTAATCAATTACAATTACAATATAAATATACAAGCATATATAATAGTGGGCTCTGAATCATACGCTTTTACATGTAATACGCTAGCACCTCCAGCCCATCGCTGCGTCTGCCTCATCGTCGCCCCGCGCTAATGATCCTCACGCGTAAATTGCGCCGCGCCTCCTGCGTCACGAGACACCGCCGCCGCCGCGCCTTCGCGTCTCGAGTATCACGAGACACCGCGTCTCAAGTATCACGAGACACTGCGTCTCGAGTATCACGAGACACCGCGTCTCGAGTATCACAAGACACTGCGTCTCGAGTATCACGAGACACCGCGTCTCGCGTATCACCGCAGCGTTCAGGTGTCTCGGAAGCCAGCAATGAGAGCCTAATGCACGGCAATCATAGACAACGTCTCCATTAGACGCGCGGGAAATTGAATGTTCGTTGCGGCGAATCGATGTTTCGCCGAACTATGCACTGCTAGAACAGACTTCACGCCTTCTATTGCTAGGCGACACCTTAGGATTCAATTTTATTCTATCCTAATTCTATCTATGCTTCAATCATAGACAACTTCTCTCAGTGCTAGGATTCCATTCCATTCAAATAAATAGCTGAGTTGATTTCATTCGTGACAATTTCCTGCGTTACTATATATAGCGAATCTTAATATTTTATTCGCAAAAAATGTGCAAGTATATTGACCAAGACCATTGTCGCTCTCATGTAACCTGCATCCAAAATTTTATAATACAATAACAATCCAAATATACACAAAAGTTAGAAACATGCGACTATGTTTCCTTCCTCTCATTAATTTTGATGCACATAATGCGAGTTTGCCCAGTTTTCATTGTCGAATGAGAGCTATTTTCGCGCAGCCTTCCTTAAAAGCTCCCATATTTGCACAGCGCTATGGGAAAAACGAATAAACACAAATAAAAATTCTCACAAATATATGAAAGATAAACATAAATCGAATCAAATGAATTTTCAAGCCAAAAAAATTTTTAATATCCATAACAAAAATGCCTCCATCTTCGAACCCGAGAATGACTCACCCGAACGTCCACTGTGTTCTATAGCAAGAGCGTGTATTTTTTCACCCCTGAATGTACTGTATATTTACATCGATCTTCGTCGAAGCTGCTGTCGACCACACACGCTTCTTGATTATATTACTTTTATGGATGTAAAAAAAGCTTTTTCTCATGCTCTATTATTGTCAAATTATTATTGCTTCCAAGTTACGTTATTTTAGTATATTAACAATTAGCTTTTTGTTATTTTCGAAATGGATGTCAAAAGCGATGTTCGAATGCAACGCTCTTGTACGAATGTAACGTTATTTTATTATATTAACAATTAGCTTTTCGTTATTTTCGAAATGGATGTCAAAAGCGATGTTCGCGAATGTAACGTTATATATATTGTACATGTCATGCCATCTGAGGACAACAGAGCTTAAGCACTTGTAATTGCTACAACAACTTTAATAATGCAATCAAGAATTCATCGATTAGCTTGATAGGTTGTACAAAAAACCGCACTTCATCAAAAACTCTTCGATGTTTCCCAAAAAGAGTTGGATTGAATCTCCAGCGAATGTGGTGGCTTATGAGGCGTAATAAGATGCAGACATTGACAATATATGTTCTGTCTTTTATTATGAGTGTGGTTTAAAAATTGCGACAAAATATCCT